AGCTACTATGTTGTTGTTGTTAGTATGCATTCAATGCTTATTAAATGCTAAGCACCATTAAAAGTACATTCCATGTATTTCCTTATATAATCTTCACAACAATCCTATGATAGAGGGTAAGATTACAAAAACCTATAACTTTAGAGTGTATCTGTTACAGTACCAAAAGGCAGCTATTTAGGGAGAAGATGGAAATGTATCTTATAGGTAAATAAAGTGTTATTGTTTAAGGTAAAAGAGCTGCTACACAAGCTAGTCTTAGGAGTTTACTTAGTTGGATGTTCTGCTCTTCATTGTTCAGGATTATAGTAAAGTCCAGCACCTGGCTCTCCATGCATTCCATAATACAGAAGTAGAGGCGATGCAAGCAGAGAGTTGCTATCAGCTGGCTAGATCATTCCACGTTCAGGTAAGATAATTTTATAACTTCTCTAATTATCTCATCCTTTTGCTTTATTTATAGTTTTTCAAGTCTCTTTTTTAAGACTTTTGTACGTATTGTTGGTCTTGTTTTATTTTCATTTTTCAGGAGGACTATGACCAAGCTTTTCAGTACTACTATCAAGCCACACAGTTTGCTTCATCCTCTTTTGTGCTACCATTTTTTGGTTTGGGACAAATGTATATTTATCGTGGTGACAAAGAAAATGCATCTCAGTGCTTTGAAAAAGTTTTGAAAGCTTACCCTAATAACTATGAAACTATGAAAATTCTTGGCTCTCTCTATGCTGCCTCAGAAGATCAAGAAAAACGAGATATTGCCAAGGTACATTTTAAAAAATCTTGTCTATTTTCTGTTTGCTGTCCTGAGAGTCCCATTCCTCATTTCTTGTAATTGCAAGTAGAAATATGATAGAAGCAGTTTCTTTAACTGAGTTTGTTCCAGTTTAGATAAGAACAGTTGACTTATTAACGGATTAAAATTGCCACTGTTTTTTTTTTTTATTTTCATGGTCTATAATTGGACAGCCTTAGTTTAATGATCTCTTTTATCCCAGGGCCATTTAAAGAAAGTCACAGAACAGTATCCTGATGATGTTGAAGCTTGGATTGAACTGGCACAAATCTTAGAACAGACTGATATACAGGTATTTTAGTAATACTTTTCATCTCCTACATAATGTGTTCTTTGTAAGCTTGATGTAGTGTTTCTCTTTCATTTTCACTTATACCTTATTCTGTCCACCCTAAAAATGCAGGGTGCCCTTTCAGCCTATGGAACAGCAACACGAATCCTTCAGGAGAAAGTACAGGCTGATGTCCCCCCAGAGATTCTGAATAATGTGGGTGCCCTCCATTTTAGACTTGGAAACCTAGGGGAGGCAAAGGTAGGAAAATAAAAAATTCACTTCTTTTATACTTGATCAAGTTTAATGCACACCTTTTTTAGATGTATCAGCTAATTTTCACAATATGATTTTCTTTTCTTTGTCATAGAAATATTTTTTGGCATCATTGGATCGTGCAAAGGCAGAAGCTGAGCATGATGAACATTATTATAATGCCATTTCTGTTACAACATCATACAATTTAGCCAGGCTGTATGAGGCAATGTGTGAATTCCATGAAGCAGAAAAACTATATAAAAACATCTTACGAGAACATCCTAATTATGTTGACTGTAAGGATTTTAAACCTTTTTATGTAATAAAATTCCTAAATTCTCATAATAGCAGCAAAAATTTAGTCCTAAATGAAATCTTACTTAGAACTTATAGTAAAAATTTTCAAAGATTCTTATGTCCGCTTTTCTTCAAGACAAATTTGTGGTCTTAAAAAAAGGGGGGGTGCAGCTTCACTTATATTTATGCTGGAAAATAAAAGAAATAATTAAAACCAGTTGGGCCATATTGTAATGACCAGGCTATCTTCAGTAGGTCAGCTAATGACATTTAACAACTCCTTGGCATGTTTGATAATAGGTTTACCTTTGTTACTGAACCTAAAGCATGATGTTTTGACTATTGTAAAATTGGGAGCTGTTTACTTGGTGTCTATCGTGCTGTTATGGATGCAAAAGTGATTTAAAATAATTAAGATTTTAGTTGAATGGCAGACTGAATTGAATTGATTTGGTAGGCAGTAGTGAGCCATTTT